GTGGGGGCTCGTCCGGGATGGCTTCAGGCCCGACAACAGCAGCGGACGACATGCCTAGGCTCCAAGGTGTCGAAGAGCTGTTGCTGGGCACCGACGGCTCCGCCATGGAGCGCGAACGAATCACGGCGGTCGTGCGCGATCGAGTGATGGCGACGCCGCTGCCCACGGCTCTGCACGTGGGAGCACGGACTGTGATCGCTAACACTGGCGCAGTCCCTCGGGCCACCGACGACTCTGTGCCTCGGCTCGCTGCTGCGCACCTCCCCCGCTACTCCGGTGCTAGAGACTTGCAGTCGCTGGAGGAGTTTCTTGAATGTTTGGAAAACTTCTGCCTTATGACGGGGGTCGCTGCCGATAAGCGACTGACACACGTGGTACCGGCTGCCCTCGAGGGTGGCGCGAAGTTGTGGTGGCAGTTCGTGCGCGGGTTCGACTCGTGGGAGCAATTCACTGCCGCCTTCCGCTCCGAGTTCTCGTCAATTGACGCGAAGCGTCGCCTGAAGGCGGAGCTCGAACAGCACACGCAGCACCCGGAAGAAAATTTGAAAGAGTTCATATATGCGATCGCTACGTTTTGCGACCGCATCGGGGAAGAGGTCTCCGAAGCCGAGAAGGTGCAGCGCGTACTGAGGCAGATGCACCCTCAGTTGCAAGATTTGGCGGAGGGGCATGCCTACAACGACCTCGCCGAGTTGGTGAAGGCAGCCGGTGGCCTAATGGAGCAGGCTTGGCGTCGCCTCCAGTACAGACCACCGCCACTTCCGAGCAACCGAGTAGCCAGAGATCTGGCATTCCGCCCTAGCCAGGCCCCCGACCATCGCTCACTGCCGCAGCCGAACACTATGGCGACGACGTCGCTCCCTTCGTTTGCTGCTGCCCCACCGGCACCGCCGACTTATCACTGGCCACTGCATCCAGCTGCGCTAGACCCGTCGTACTGCCGGGACCGACAGTACTCGTGCGACACAGCGCCTCCGTTCTCACCCTACGGGCCGGGACCGATGCCACGGCCAAAGCCCGCAAGTGGAGCAATACGTGTGCAGTGCCATCGCTGGGGTGGATTCGGCCACATATCTCGTAACTGTGCCACGGGTCGACGATTGGGGCCACCCGTTTGCTTCCGGTGCCAGCGATCGGGTCACCTGCAAGCACAGTGCCCGGGAAACCAGTGGCGGTAGGTGCTGCCCCGGCAGGCACCTACGGCAGTGCGCACCAAGTAGCGACCACAGCCGGTGGCAAAGAGCCCTTTATGGGCGTCCGTATCGGGTCGTCGACGTTCAAGGCCCTGCTAGATACAGGCTCAAGTGTAAGCTTCTTCGGACCGCACGCCGCGGCGGCGGCCCAAGCTTCTGGAGCCAAACCCAAGGCAGACGTACGCGTGCTGCGTTTGACATCAGGCTGGTCGCAGTCAACCATGTCTCTGAAGTGCCAGATCGACTGGGCTGCCGGTTGCCGCAGACAGCAGTTTTTGTGCGTTCCTGACCTGTGCCGTGACGTTGTCCTTGGTAGGGATTTCCTGACGGTGAGTGGCATCTCTCTGCACGTGTCACTTGGTGGGTGGACTGTCGGCACAGAACCACAAAGAATTGTGCCCTTTGTCAAGGCCGTTAAGGAACAGCCAGAGGCAGTGGATGATTTTGGAGACAGTCTGCGCTGCATTTTTGCTGAGGGCGATGCCAGTGTGTGCCAGTGTGCCGGAGGCGACTGCAGCCTGCAATGTGTTCATTCCCGGCCACTCGTCGGACCTAGACCCACGCATGAAACACATTTTAGAAGAGTTTAGAGAAATCTTCACCACAACTCTGGGCTGCACAACCCTGGCAGAGCATCGCATAGACACGGGAGACAACCCACCTGTTCGATGCAAACTGCGACCAGTGAATGCCAAGAAGCAGGCCATCATGGACAACTGCATTCAAGACCTGCTGGCACAGAACCTCATCCGCCCTAGCCAAAGTCAGCATGCCAGTGCTCCAGTCCTGGTTGAGAAGAAGTCTGGTGGCTACCGCATGGCTGTGGATTACCGCCAGCTGAATGCACGCACTAAGGTGCCAGTCTACCCCATGCGGAGGACTGATTGGTTGCTGGCACAGCTGGGACGAGCCAGGTGGTTCTCAAGTTTTGATCATTCACAGGGTTTTTTTCAAATCCCTGTTCAAGAGCAGGATATTCCAAAGACAGCGTTCATTTGCCATCGGGGAACCTTCGAGTTCATGAGAATGCCCTTTGGAGTTGCCGGAGGTCCTGCCACGTTTCAGACCCTGATGGACCGACTACTAGAGGGAATTAATCACCAGTTTGCCATGGCGTTTCTCGATGATGTCCTGGTGTATTCAGAGACCCTAGAGGATCATCTTGAGCATGTTCGGGAGGTGTTGAAGCGGATAAGTTCGGCACAGCTGACCATTAACCCAGAGAAGGTGCACGTGTGCTGTCAATACCTGAAGTTCCTTGGCCATGAAATATCCCCCGGGCAGTGTAGGCCGGACAAGGAAAAAGTGCGAGCGGTGCTGGACTATCCTCAACCAACAACACTCAAACAGCTGCAGGCCTTCCTGGGACTAGCAGGCTATTACAGAGGGTTCATACCTCAGTTTTCTATCACTGCACGTCCACTCACAGAACTCCTTAAGAAAAACCAACGTTGGCGGTGGGAGCTGCAGCAAGAGGAAGCCTTTAGAGCACTTAAGCAGTCCCTGGCCGACGATGTTGTTGTAAACTTGTCGGACCTCAACAGAGCATTCGTGGTGGAAACAGACGCCAGTGGAGTCGGCATTGCAGCGGTCCTTCTGCAGGCAGTCGAGAGTGAGGCCGAGAGTGATGCTGAACTGCGTCCAATAAGCTTCATTAGCAGGGTCCTCACTGAGGCAGAGCAGCGCTATACAGTGCGAGAATGGGAGTGTCTGGCTGTGGTGTGGGCAGTGGACAAGTTCCGACCATACCTTGAGTTCACCGAGTTTGAGATACACTTGTGATCACTCCTCACTGTCCTTGATGTTCACCACAGACCAGGCCTCACCACGTGTAAAGCGTAGGGTTTTGCGGCTGCAAGGTTTCAACTGCAGGATCAAGCACAGGCGGGGTCTTGCAAATGTGCCAGCCGACGACTTGAGCAGAGCTCCCCTTCAGCACCAGGAATATCCAAGCCCGAGTTTACACGAGACGCTGTTCCCTATGGCTGTTCCAGAGCCCAGCCCACAAATCAGCTTTGAGGCAGCTGCTGTAGCATCTGAAGTGGACGACACTACTGTCTTGAATGATGCAGGGCTCCTCGCCCAGGAACAAGAGCAGGACCCCATACTGTAAAAGCTACGAACTGTGATGAAGGGAGGGAAGCTTCCGCCCACTGACAGTGATCAACCTTTGATCAAAGACCTGGCGGAGAAGACCGAGATGGAAGAGAGTGGGTTGCTTGTACAGCACCCTGGGAACAGAAAAGTACCTTGGCTACCAAACCATCTCTGCAACTTGGTCCTGCGACTGTCCCATGACCACCCGATTAGCGGCCACTCTGGCTTTTTTAAGACCCTCAAACGCATTTCTCAGAATTTCGTGTGGCTGGGTATGCGCTCGGACATATCCAAGTATGTGCGATGCTGCCAGGTTTGCCAGCGCACCAAAGCCCACCGGCAGAAGCCAGAAGGGCTGATGAGCAGTCAGTGGGTCACTGCCCCCATGGAACAGCTCAGCGTGGACATAATTGGGCCCTTTCCTATGACCCCTCGACGCCACAAGTACATTCTCGTGGTGATTGACAAGTTCACCAAGTTCATTGAACTTTTCCCATTACGGGCAGCAAACAGCAAGGGTGTGGTGACCTGCATGATCCAGGTTTTTTGCAGACATGGCACACCTGTCTCCATTTCAAGTGATAATGGAAAGCCGTTTGTAAGCAGGTTGTGGAAGGGCCTCCTTGAGCATTGGGACATACAAGACCGACACACTGTTCCGTACCGCCCTGCCGGGCAAATGGTGGAGCGCCACAATGGCATTATCAAGCAGTGCCTTAGAGCTCATTGTTCCAACCACAAAGACTAGGACCAGCACATCCCTGAAATTGCCCTGACTATGCGCACGGCTGAAAGCGTTGTCACGGGCTACACGCCTGCCTTCCTCTGTTATGGCCGAGAGCTGAGAACACCATGGACACAGGCTGAGGCCAAAGACGACGCGATGCATGTATTTTTTCCTGTAACCTGCTTCAAGTTAGGAATTTAGTGCTCCAAAAGTAACATTTTGCTGCTCCGAAAACTGCTCCAAATTGTATTTAGGCTGTTGCGCCCCTGCAAGGTTAAAGAACTTGTTATTCTCACGTAGATTTATCACTTCTAAGTCTAAAAGCTTGTTATGCTGGCTTATATGCTTTAAACAGTAAATTTTGAAACTTAAAGGGGTTCTGCAACACATTTAGAGCATGGTCAAAAAACTCTGCTGGTCAGAAGTAAAGGCTTCCAAGAACATGCTAGCCAAATATTATAGGGCAGCATGCAGCCCTGAATTCACAATAAATTCTCAAAGTCAGATAAAAATTGCTTTCTCTTCTATTGACTAATGATTGAAGAAGCTCGAAAATCACTCGTCACAGCCATTCCATCAGCCATTGGCTGATTTGAATAAGGCGTGCTCGTTCGTTACAGGGGTCGCCACGCAAGATTTTTGTTAGTGCATTTATGAAACAATAAGCTCTTTTAGCGAATTCATTCTATGGCTACCTGAAAAAGTGTTGCAGGGGCCCTTTGATAATATATTACATGTTATCCCTTGCATTTTACCAAAAGCCAAAAAAATGACATTTGCTCACGCCTTGTTTCAGCTGTTTTTTTTTTTTAATTGTGCAGGTGAGTTGGGTCACGACAGATATGCTAATTTTTCTTTATATATATCATACATACTGTCTGAATTCGATTCGAAATTATTCGAACGAATTGCTAGGGACTTCATACCTAAAATTTACCATTTGCACATGCCTAATAACAACTAGTGATGCCTATGTTCTTCAGGCCTTCGTCTGCCAACACCTTGCCACCGATTGTGGAGGAACCTGCAGAGCCGCAAGAGTCGCCGTCAAAAGATCTGGCAATTGTTTCACCACCCGCCCCACCACCACCCACTATTGTCATCTCTCCTGTGCCTGTTTTGGAAGGTATGTGCGACACTAAGGAGATATTCCGAGATTCTCAAAATGTCACTGTGTCAGAGTGCATTCCACAAGGAAGATTTAGTACAGTTGAACCCACATATGGCAAATTTGGTACAGGGTGTCTGTACCTGTACAGATACAGGTACAGACTTGTGTCTAATATTACAAAAGTCTAGTACTTACTTAAGGTGGCAGTCTCACTTTGGCAGCAGCCCCTCCGCATTTTATGCATTTTTTGTGGACGCACTCTGCTTGCTAAGCTTTACAAATTAATTTTAATCATGCAAATTCAGAAAGCTTACGATCTATTTTTCCAATGACACGTGGTGTTAATGCTTGCTCTGAAGCGTTATTTAATAGCAACAAAAATAGTGTGAGCAACAAAAAGCATTTTCGTTGTGCAAGCCTTCGTTCTACTGCGAGTACAGCGAAACTGTTCAACATAACAGTGCAAAATTTACTGTGCCTTTAGGTGAAGTGCTATTCAAGGTTTCTATGAAGAGATAATAAATATAAACAAATTAGTAATTTATTACCGCATGGCTGTGGATTACCGCCAGCTGAATGCACGCACTAAGGTGCCAGTCTACCCCATGCGGAGGACTGATTGGTTGCTGGCACAGCTGGGACGAGCCAGGTGGTTCTCAAGTTTTGATCATTCACAGGGTTTTTTTCAAATCCCTGTTCAAGAGCAGGATATTCCAAAGACAGCGTTCATTTGCCATCGGGGAACCTTCGAGTTCATGAGAATGCCCTTTGGAGTTGCCGGAGGTCCTGCCACGTTTCAGACCCTGATGGACCGACTACTAGAGGGAATTAATCACCAGTTTGCCATGGCGTTTCTCGATGATGTCCTGGTGTATTCAGAGACCCTAGAGGATCATCTTGAGCATGTTCGGGAGGTGTTGAAGCGGATAAGTTCGGCACAGCTGACCATTAACCCAGAGAAGGTGCACGTGTGCTGTCAATACCTGAAGTTCCTTGGCCATGAAATATCCCCCGGGCAGTGTAGGCCGGACAAGGAAAAAGTGCGAGCGGTGCTGGACTATCCTCAACCAACAACACTCAAACAGCTGCAGGCCTTCCTGGGACTAGCAGGCTATTACAGAGGGTTCATACCTCAGTTTTCTATCACTGCACGTCCACTCACAGAACTCCTTAAGAAAAACCAACGTTGGCGGTGGGAGCTGCAGCAAGAGGAAGCCTTTAGAGCACTTAAGCAGTCCCTGGCCGACGATGTTGTTGTAAACTTGTCGGACCTCAACAGAGCATTCGTGGTGGAAACAGACGCCAGTGGAGTCGGCATTGCAGCGGTCCTTCTGCAGGCAGTCGAGAGTGAGGCCGAGAGTGATGCTGAACTGCGTCCAATAAGCTTCATTAGCAGGGTCCTCACTGAGGCAGAGCAGCGCTATACAGTGCGAGAATGGGAGTGTCTGGCTGTGGTGTGGGCAGTGGACAAGTTCCGACCATACCTTGAGTTCACCGAGTTTGAGATACACTTGTGATCACTCCTCACTGTCCTTGATGTTCACCACAGACCAGGCCTCACCACGTGTAAAGCGTAGGGTTTTGCGGCTGCAAGGTTTCAACTGCAGGATCAAGCACAGGCGGGGTCTTGCAAATGTGCCAGCCGACGACTTGAGCAGAGCTCCCCTTCAGCACCAGGAATATCCAAGCCCGAGTTTACACGAGACGCTGTTCCCTATGGCTGTTCCAGAGCCCAGCCCACAAATCAGCTTTGAGGCAGCTGCTGTAGCATCTGAAGTGGACGACACTACTGTCTTGAATGATGCAGGGCTCCTCGCCCAGGAACAAGAGCAGGACCCCATACTGTAAAAGCTACGAACTGTGATGAAGGGAGGGAAGCTTCCGCCCACTGACAGTGATCAACCTTTGATCAAAGACCTGGCGGAGAAGACCGAGATGGAAGAGAGTGGGTTGCTTGTACAGCACCCTGGGAACAGAAAAGTACCTTGGCTACCAAACCATCTCTGCAACTTGGTCCTGCGACTGTCCCATGACCACCCGATTAGCGGCCACTCTGGCTTTTTTAAGACCCTCAAACGCATTTCTCAGAATTTCGTGTGGCTGGGTATGCGCTCGGACATATCCAAGTATGTGCGATGCTGCCAGGTTTGCCAGCGCACCAAAGCCCACCGGCAGAAGCCAGAAGGGCTGATGAGCAGTCAGTGGGTCACTGCCCCCATGGAACAGCTCAGCGTGGACATAATTGGGCCCTTTCCTATGACCCCTCGACGCCACAAGTACATTCTCGTGGTGATTGACAAGTTCACCAAGTTCATTGAACTTTTCCCATTACGGGCAGCAAACAGCAAGGGTGTGGTGACCTGCATGATCCAGGTTTTTTGCAGACATGGCACACCTGTCTCCATTTCAAGTGATAATGGAAAGCCGTTTGTAAGCAGGTTGTGGAAGGGCCTCCTTGAGCATTGGGACATACAAGACCGACACACTGTTCCGTACCGCCCTGCCGGGCAAATGGTGGAGCGCCACAATGGCATTATCAAGCAGTGCCTTAGAGCTCATTGTTCCAACCACAAAGACTAGGACCAGCACATCCCTGAAATTGCCCTGACTATGCGCACGGCTGAAAGCGTTGTCACGGGCTACACGCCTGCCTTCCTCTGTTATGGCCGAGAGCTGAGAACACCATGGACACAGGCTGAGGCCAAAGACGACGCGATGCATGTATTTTTTCCTGTAACCTGCTTCAAGTTAGGAATTTAGTGCTCCAAAAGTAACATTTTGCTGCTCCGAAAACTGCTCCAAATTGTATTTAGGCTGTTGCGCCCCTGCAAGGTTAAAGAACTTGTTATTCTCACGTAGATTTATCACTTCTAAGTCTAAAAGCTTGTTATGCTGGCTTATATGCTTTAAACAGTAAATTTTGAAACTTAAAGGGGTTCTGCAACACATTTAGAGCATGGTCAAAAAACTCTGCTGGTCAGAAGTAAAGGCTTCCAAGAACATGCTAGCCAAATATTATAGGGCAGCATGCAGCCCTGAATTCACAATAAATTCTCAAAGTCAGATAAAAATTGCTTTCTCTTCTATTGACTAATGATTGAAGAAGCTCGAAAATCACTCGTCACAGCCATTCCATCAGCCATTGGCTGATTTGAATAAGGCGTGCTCGTTCGTTACAGGGGTCGCCACGCAAGATTTTTGTTAGTGCATTTATGAAACAATAAGCTCTTTTAGCGAATTCATTCTATGGCTACCTGAAAAAGTGTTGCAGGGGCCCTTTGATAAATATATTACATGTTATCCCTTGCATTTTACCAAAAGCCAAAAAAATGACATTTGCTCACGCCTTGTTTCAGCTGTTTTTTTTTTTTTTAATTGTGCAGGTGAGTTGGGTCACGACAGATATGCTAATTTTTCTTTATATATATCATACATACTGTCTGAATTCGATTCGAAATTATTCGAACGAATTGCTAGGGACTTCATACCTAAAATTTACCATTTGCACATGCCTAATAACAACTAGTGATGCCTATGTTCTTCAGGCCTTCGTCTGCCAACACCTTGCCACCGATTGTGGAGGAACCTGCAGAGCCGCAAGAGTCGCCGTCAAAAGATCTGGCAATTGTTTCATCACCCGCCCCACCACCACCCACTATTGTCATCTCTCCTGTGCCTGTTTTGGAAGGTATGTGCGACACTAAGGAGATATTCCGAGATTCTCAAAATGTCACTGTGTCAGAGTGCATTCCACAAGGAAGATTTAGTACAGTTGAACCCACATATGGCAAATTTGGTACAGGGTGTCTGTACCTGTACAGATACAGGTACAGACTTGTGTCTAATATTACAAAAGTCTAGTACTTACTTAAGGTGGCAGTCTCACTTTGGCAGCAGCCCCTCCGCATTTTATGCATTTTTTGTGGACGCACTCTGCTTGCTAAGCTTTACAAATTAATTTTAATCATGCAAATTCAGAAAGCTTACGATCTATTTTTCCAATGACACGTGGTGTTAATGCTTGCTCTGAAGCGTTATTTAATAGCAACAAAAATAGTGTGAGCAACAAAAAGCATTTTCGTTGTGCAAGCCTTCGTTCTACTGCGAGTACAGCGAAACTGTTCAACATAACAGTGCAAAATTTACTGTGCCTTTAGGTGAAGTGCTATTCAAGGTTTCTATGAAGAGATAATAAATATAAACAAATTAGTAATTTATTCATGTTCCAATGAAAATGGGCAAAATAATTAATGTTAGTGTGTAACTAGCTTTTTTTTTTTTTCAAAGCAGAACCTTAATAACAAGTGGTTCTGTAGAATACAATACATTTACCTTCCATGCAAAGTTGCTTTGTGTTCTGACGAAAACTTTATGAATTATGTGTCAATGCGGCAGTTTATGACTCTACTCGGTCACGCATTACCAATGAAGTGACAAAACTGTACAAGATAATACTCTGAACGCCATTATAAGGAAGCAGCAGGCCCCTCTTTAGAATTTTATGATGAGAAAATTATTTTATTTTTGTTAGGGAATCTATGAGACTGCGGTGTTGCGACTCCGGGTCCTGTCAGTTTGGTAGCGGGCCCCCGTCCTAGGACCCATCGTCGAACAAGTCAGATGAGGCGCTCATAAAAGCGACAACAATTTATTTACATTGTAATTACCGTATTTACTCGATTCTACCGCGCCCTCGATTGTAACGCGCACCCGATTTCCACCGCGAAAAAAAAAAAACGTAAGACATCGATTGCAACGCGCACCCATTTTTTCTCGCTGGCCCGCATGATCACACCACTTGAAAAAACTACTCCTTTTGGAAGCGTCTTCCATTTTAAATATGAGGTACGGGCGAAGCTTGTGCCCATCTGACGTGTAACAGAGCATTGCCGTCACTGTAGTTTTACCGTGGACCGATGTCAGCACGCGAACTTGCTTCGCCCCCTTCTTCTCGACGGTTGTGGTGCCAGGCATGTCGAAGTAAAGAGGCGCCTGATCGGCATTCCCGATTTGCC